CGGTTCAGCAAGATAATAGTTCTTTCACTGGGATACTTTTTATCATTCACAGTTATTCTTCCTCTTACTGTTTTTAACTTGACATTCCTTTTTAAGAACGACTGTTGTTTAGGTTAGGATATAGGATTAATATTTAAAAACACTTTGTATTCCATTTCTTATTAGACATCAATTGCGTCTGAATACATCTTATACTTTTAACAATTGTCATCCTCAAAGAAATAATTATACACATATAATTTCTGGTTTTCTTTGATTGTAGGCTATAACCAATAGTCAGGAGTTAATTAATCATCTCGTGTAATTTAACCTTGGCTAATACATTTTAAATCGAACATGAAAGAAATGCAATTTAATAATAAATGGAAGTTCTTCCTTGTCATTTTCTAAGTTACTGTAGAGTAGAGTTCTGTGATATCTTCTCCATCATAATCGATACTAATCATCAGTAGAAGAGAAAGCTATTCTGACATAAATTTTAATTTATTAGTGAATGAATCATCTGATGGAAGAACCTTGCACTACAATACGCGAGATATTGCTGATCCAGGTACTCTAACTAGTCTCTTTCTGTATTCTGATTTCTTCTGCACGAATACTTAGATTCCATTTTCTATTGCTGTTTTAAAGGAGCGATACATTCTGCTTTAGAACTTTTTTGACTGAATTCTGCAGATATAATACAATTTTACTATATTCCTGATGTCTTTTGGAAGTCAGGCAAGGCTTGTTTGATTATGGCTGAATGCTTGATGACAGTTGTAACCAATAATCTCAGCTATTATTTATCTAATTCCACGTTTGGACTTATGATAGATTGATATGCTGGCTTTAGTAGACAGGGCTTAGAAATAGTAATATGAAACATGTTTTCCAGGACTTTCGCTATTTCTGGCCATCTGATTGCCCCATCTTTTCCACATTCCACTAGTTATTTTAAGGTTTCGGCGAATTTAGGATTTTCATTGACATGAGTGAGCATTAGATGATAATTTTATGAAATAACTGATAATCAAAAATTCCTTTAAATATTATGATCAATCAATTTTAAAGTTGATAATTTTTTCATTGAAATCTTATACCAATTTAAATTAATTAGAAATATAAATAAATTTTAAGGCAATTTAGTATAAAAATTAGGAGTTTCTATAATTAATGATACTAAATTGAAATTAATCAAATTGATTAAATGGCTAAACAACAAAAGAAACGACTTGGAATCTCTAAATGGTAGAAATCTAATATTTTAATAATTAAGTTATGTTAATCACAAAAGCTAATTCTGTTGTTATGGCTAATCATTTCCAAGTATATTATCTACATTGATTACAAACTATTAATTATTTTAACCATCCTGAGCCTATGGTTAATTATTGGCTTGTTATTGTTGAGGCACTTCCTCTTAGACTAGCTGATTGGGAACTTAAGCAGGAGCATTCCCTTCGACAGGTAGAAGTTCCTCTTGATTCAAAAGATTGTTTAATAAGATGTAATTTTTATCGACCAGAGCCAAATTCTAGATTTAGAAGAACCTAAGGTAGTACAATATATATATACCTTCTTCCGCAAAGAGGAAAGAACATAGTCCATAGAGTGGGAATGTCATTGATCCAATTCATATTGAACAATGGACAGTAGTATGCTCGTGGACGATCAAGTGTAGGTGTGTACGGAGATTCTATAGGCCAATCCAGAGCTGCTATTTCAAAGTTGAGCACAAAGAAGGAAATTATGGTAAATTGTGAGAAGATGCAAATTTAAAAGGCCAGGTTGTAATATCCATATGAAGTAGATTCAAAGTAATATGTGAACAGCATATAGGTTGAGACTATGTACTTGGGCACAAAATAAAGGGATGCTCTGGTTCTCAAAAATATGATACTCACAAATTCATTTAATAGGAATGATCTAAATATGATGGATAATTATTGTTACGAGAAAAAGTTTTCAGCCAATCCTTTTGGGTAACTTTTTGCAAACAATTGAATTGAACTATTATAACCAGTGAATTACAAAAAGTAGACCAAGTAAAATAAAATCAACATTTAGATAAATGAATTGAGCAGCTCCTTTTTTAGTTTTTGATTTCTATTCAAAATAAGTCAGATATTAGCCTACCCAAGGAAATGCATCAATTAAGGCTTGTGCTTAAATATCTTAATTCTAACAGATTTGCATGCAATTCACTTTTAGGTTATTTATAACAAATACTCATGTATATTATTAAAATAGGAGCACATATTATGGACATCTTCATGTAAATTGAGGCTATAATTGATTGTAGAAATATTCCCAAAATGCACTTGATGAACTCTGTTAAAGTTGTGTAGATTCTTTCATCGTAAGCAACAACATATTTTCCTAATTTTAATCAAATATTAAACTTTGAAGCTATTGCTTATTCCAACTCCAAGTCTCATTTGTATTTTGATTCAATAATTGTACATCGCCATCATAATTGGAACCAAGGAAATCAAGAAAATCAATAATAAACATAGTTTCTAAATCTGAAGCCAAACACAAAAAAGCATTAAATCCTTTAGTGTAATATTGTATCTCTACCAAATGAGTTTCAACAGTGAAATTATATTTCTGTTGAAATTCATTACTCATATAAAGAAGGGTTTTGTTAAATGTAAATTTCATTGAGAGGTATGATTCATTTTAGTTTAACAATTCGCTATCAGTGATATTGAAAATATAGATTGTTTCATTATCAAAATTATCTATGCTTTAACATGCTTTATACATATAGATTCTTGGTCCTAGAAAGATTTGTACTATTCTCTGAATTGTAATAAAAATAAGAAAAAGAGTCCCAAAAATGTTAATGTTGAAAAGAAATAGGCTCCGGCAGTAAAAATCTTTCGTATCAACGGTCCAAATAGTATTCTTCTATGAATCCTGTATAATT